TGGGGAGGGGACGGACACTGGGTCCACCAAATTGCAGGAATCATGATTAAAAACAACTTTCCTTCTTGTTACCAAGGCTGTCGCCTCCAGGATCACACCCTTGCCCCTCTCTCAAATAGAAACCAGTTACTCTTATCTAAGCCTCAGGAGGCAGCTGGGGAAGAAACAAGAACTGGTTAGAACTGTGAATGAAAAATACTGCAAACTGTATCAGTAAACAAAGAATGCTGAAGCCATCAAGCTGTCAGCGGTTGCCACCCCCCCCCCAAGTGAAGACAAGCCCGCAGCCCGGCCTCTGCAGCCACTCACGGTGGTGCACCGTGAGGGGACTCAGAATAAGAAAGGACAGGATACCGGCCCTAGGTAGCTAGGTGCTTGTCAAAGGAATGAATTCAGTGAGCCCAAGTGTTTGCTTCCTCCCATACATGGAAAAGCACTGAATTCTTTAACTTGAGATGCCTTGTTTTCTTTAGATAACAAGCAATCTTTTATTGTTCCAACTACCTGGTCTTTGTTGCAAAGCTCCTATATATCCTAGCTCCTCCCCTACCTCTTAGGAGCGTCCCTCTGAGCCATCTGAGAGGCTGTCATCCTGGGCTGAGTCCTCAAAATTGTCCGCCGAATAAAACGTAACTCTCAACTTTTAGGTTGTGCATTTATCTCAGTCGACAGAACCCGCCCAGTCCAAGATGGTGGAGGATTCCAGAGGACCTTGAGCCTCATTATATGCTCATTGTAATGTATTAGCTGCTAAGTGACACTCACCAGGGCCATGACAATTGACAATTGCCATGAAGACAACAGGAAAAGCCCACACAAAGACTGAAAAGCTTAAACAAGGACTGACCGGCCCCATCATACCCGGAAGGAGGACACGGTGGTAGAAGTCTCCCACAAAAGCCCACGTGGCCCGACCCAGGCCAGAGCCCTCTCTGCCAGTCAGCTTGGCTGATGGCTCCCCACTCCAGTGCCTCTTCCTAGTTCGAGCACTTTCTTTCCTTTTCCTCTTTTGAGAAATAAAAGCAGTTTTGCTCTGTCCCTCTGCCTCAGCTGTGAATTCTTTCCAGCCAGCAGGCAAGGACCTACACTTCGATGGGCTTCCTAATTAAGGGGTCTCACTCTCAGTTAATGTCTCCATTTTGAAGGATGGACTTAGTTTAGAGTTCGCATGTGAGTCAAAGGGGATTAAATGGACCAATAAATGATATGGCCATTCCCAATTCTAATAGCAAGAGTCACCCATTTTCTGAAGTGTTCTATTCCGGAAGTCAGAGGCTGTTAATATCACAGTGTACATTGTTAATAAAGCTGTGCCTCATGAGTGAATCCACGCACCTAAGGGGACTGCTAAAAATGTCCTCACAATATAGGTGGGGCACAGCCACTCAATCTTCACCTAAGACATGTAGAAATCCACAAAGAGGCCACTCTTTCTCTCCAGCTCCTTTGGCAAG